CACGTAATCACCAAATACACAACCCCCACCACAAAACACACTCACTCACACACACACACACACACGCGCGGGCGCGCGCACACTCACTACTCACCCACACACACCCACACTTACACACACAAAGAGCAAACGGATCAGCACAATCCATTCTCATCTTAAAAGCACTTCCTGTTGTGAGAGGTTGGCATAAGAGAGGCACTCGGACACTCACAGGGTCAATGAGTGCAGAAAATAAGAATGTGGGCGGTTGGCGGGTGCTCTGGTGTGGTTGGCTTCTTCTTTCCTATCAAACATCTACCGTCCTTATCTACCCTCCTCTTTTTTTAATGTTTGTTACTCTCTTGTAACACCTCTAATCTTCGGCACTTCTATGACCTTATAGTGTCGCAAGTGCCGTAAAACTCTAATTAAAACGAAGCAATTCGTGCAGAGAACACGAGTGAAATAGACTGAGGTTTGGCATGAGGAAAGAGAAGCACATCACGACACGGTGATAATAAGAACCATTTGCTGTCGGGGAAAAGGGAAGACAAACAGACAAAAGAACACAACACAGGGAAATGACATGTTTGTTTTAGTAATTAGCGTTTTACGGCACTTGCAACACATTAAGGTCATATGACCGCCAGAAGATTAGGTGTTACAAGAGAGTAACAAACATAAAATGAAGGAGGAGAGATTAGGACGATATAATGTTTGATAGGGAAAAAAATAAGCAAACCACACTAGAGCACCCACCAACCACCCACGACCACTTGCCGTAAGGAAAAAGGCAAGATAAGCACACAGAAACAACATAGGGAAAGACAAAAAGAAGAAGAAGAAGAAGCGGATCTACAAATGATACGCTCCAACCCTCCACAAAATAAGACTGAAACAACAAATGGGGAGGGGGGGGGGTACACAAGACGAAGTAAACAAGAAAATAGGTTTGTTTGTTTTAGTATTTTAGAAAGAGTTTTACGGCACTTGTAACACAATGCGGTCATACAAGTGCGGAGCGAAGATTAGAGGTGGTACAAGAGAGTAACAAACACAAAAAGAAGGAGGAGAGATCAGGACGAGAGATGTTCGATAGGAAAGAACAAGCAAATCACACCACAGCACCCGTTTGAGGAAAGAGAAACACACCAGGACACGGTGATAATGACCACTCGCTGAAGAGGAAAAGGCAAGATACACAGACAAAATACTATACAGGGAAATAAAATGTTTGTTTTAGTAAGCGTTTTACGGCACTTGCAACACAATAAGGACATACAAGAGCCGAAGATTAGTTTACTTAGTTTTAGTAGAGGTTTTACGGCACTCGCAACTGCATAAGGTCATATGAGCGCCAGAAGATTAGAGGCGTTACAAGAGAGTAACAAACATAAAAAAGAAGAAGGGGAGATCAGGACGAGAGATGTTCGATAGGAAAGAAGAAGCAAACCACACCAGAGCACCCGCCAACCACCCACGTGCCGAAGAATAGAATTGTTAGAAGAGAGTAACAAACACAACAAAAAAAGAAGGAGGGTAGAAAAAAAAAAAGACGATAGATGTTTGATAGGAAAGAAAAAGCAAACCACACCAGAGCACCCGAGCACTTGCTGTTGGGAAAGGGGCAAGACAAACAGACAGAAACAACATAGGGAAAGACGACAGGAAGAAGAAGAAGTGGATCTACTAATGGCACATAAAAACCACACACAAAGTAAGACTGAAACAACAGTTGGGGGGTGGGGGTGG